ATATTGACATCTATGCTCCAACTTGAGGGGGAGTGTTAAAATAATGTTAAATTATTTTAGTTGCTGATGTTAGGGCCTGTTTGGCTAATTAAAGTGTTTTTTATTTCGTTTCTTTCTGTTATGTCTGTTATTGTACTCAGGGGCACAAGGGTCTTTTCCCTTGTTATTTCTACCGCCCTATATATATTAAAATAAAGGCTGGCGCCGCCAGCACTGTTACGTTGCAAAACCCTTCTTTCTTCCCTTCTCTCTTCTCTTCTCTTCTTCTCCTCTCCTCTTCTCTTTTCTTCTTCTTAATTCTGGCCGGCCATACTGTCAAGAAACAGGATAACGTATTTATATCCATCCATACAAGGAATATAATATGGGCCCCAATCCCAAACACTAATATGTATCAAATGGAAAGCAAGATCACTTTTTCTATTACACGCAAAATATGTTGTTCTACATTGCTTTAAGAGATGACATACTTTACATTGTAGACTCAAGTTGAACATAGACTAACACAAATTTGGGAACAAAATCTTAATGGGCTAAAAAGACATATGACCAAGATGACAATGCCACAACTTCAAAAGACTCAAATTTTTACTTTAACATGACTTGATTTGGCACAATAATCCTTGCTCGGGAGCTTGATCAAAAAGTTAAACTCCATTAGCTTCATGTCCAGTTCTAGTCGTCATCACCATGCTCAGGTCTTGAAAAACACAATGTAAAGGAAAAATGTCACTAAACAATTATGGTATTTGGTAAGGGAGCTAACAGATAACAAATTTTTGTGCAACTGAGGAACATGAAGGACAAAGCTCAAGGAAAGATTATGAATGAGCTTGACTTCATCGAAACCTGGAATTAGAGTTTGGGATCCATCAGCTACTGTGATTTTACCTTTCGCTAGAGCCAGTTTATAAGAGGTAAAGAGGTACCAAGCAGTCATATGAGCACTAGCTCCAAAGTCCACAATCCAGGAGCTAGGAAAGGAAGATTGACAAGCAAGTGTAGTACTTGATTTAGCGAAGGCATTGGAAGGATTATCAGTGCCAGCTTAGGTAGAGGACCTAGACTTCTAAAGCTGAGTCAATAGGCTCCTATGCTTCTCCATCACATAAGAGGAGTCATGTGAAGGAGACTAAACACTAGGAGAGGGTTGGTCAACTCCAATAGTATCAAGATGAGCAATTCCCTTCTTTGTTGTTTTAAACTGCCCAGGCTTCAAATGTGGGTTTAGCTTCCAACACTGGTCCTTAGTGTGTTTGGGCTTCTTGTTGTACTCACACACCACCTTATCATTCTTCTCACTAACACCCTGTTTTTTACACTTTGCTTGAGTTTAGAGGACATGCACGCTGAATGTTCAACTACAGAAGTGTGCATCATGGCTGCCCTCCTACTCTCTTCTCCCTGTACCAAGGAGTATGTAGTGGTAAGTGAAACAATATTTACGCTCAAGATGTGTTGTCGGGTAAGATCATATTCAGGATTCAAGCCTGCCAAGAAATCAAATAATCAGTTCCCAACATATTTCCGGTACTGTTCACCATCCTTAGGATTCTTGCATTGCAAGGCCTCTAGATGGTCCATCTCTTCCCTAAGAGATTGTAAGTTAGAGAAGTACATAGCCACAATCCTCTCCCCTGACGCATGTTGCATGCTTCCCTGTGGAGTTAGTAGACTCAAGCAATATTCTTAACCTGGGAGTATGTAGCAATAACACAATCCCAAATATCTTTGGTAGTAGAAAGAAACATGTAATTGCGATTAACATTTGGCTGCATTGAACAGACTGGCCATGACGTAACCAAAGAATTATCCTGTTCCTACTTGGAAAACTTGGGGTCATCAGATTTTGACTTTACCACTTTGCTTGTAATGAATCCTAACTTGGGACTGATGAGAGCCTGTACATTGGAATATACAAAAAGATTCAATTAAAGAAAGGTCCAGCTTTCAAAAAAGAGAAAAGTTGGACACCCATGAATGCCCTTTGTACACTTAACCAAGAACATAAAAATCCTACAACCTTGCTTCTAATTGAAATTACTTCAGAATAATTGTTATCATAGATTTGGCTGTTTCATTCCTTCCAGAGAGCCCATAGTATGGTAGATGGAAAAATCCTCCAAAGTAGTTTGCTTTGCCCCTAGTTTTCAAACCCTTGAGGGAACCACCCTTGCAGAAGTTGAAGAACTTATTGAGGTAAGCATGACTGAACACCAAAGCAAGACCAAGCCATTTCCCACAGTTGGGAAGAAAAACTGTAATGGATAAAAAGGTGATTGGAGGATTCGGGAATCTCATTGCACAAGGGGCACAAGATATTCAAAAGAAGCATCCCCCTTCTGAGAAGCTGATCTGTGGTAGCATTTACCAAGCACTGCAGTCCAAAGCGGGAAGTTAACCTTGGATGGGGCATGGGAATTCCAGATCAAAGCCCAAGGGAAATTAATGTCCTCGCAAGACACCAAGTTGTTGTAGGACTGAGGGGAAAACTTGCCTGAGGAGCTCCAAGACCAGAATCTTTCATCTTCAATCTGAGGATTAGGCGGAATGCTTTGAACAAGGCTTAACAGCTCAGTCAGTGGGCTGATTTCCCAATCATTGATACTTCTTCGAAAAGTGGGGCTGCAACAACCTCTCCATTCACAGAATCAAAGCAGTCTTCAACCACAGCATCCTTATCAAGTGCAACGTCAAAAAGAGAAGGGAATTTCTCCTGTAGAGCCAGGTTCCCACACCACCAATCGTGCCAGAATTTGAGGCGATTACCCTTACCAACCTTGCACCTGTTGCCCTTTAAGAAATCAGGGAGAATAGAGGCTATGTTGCTCCATATAGCACACCTCTTTGGGGATAGGCCAGGGCCTGAATCCCAACCAAGCTTTGTGAGCCCATATTTGTCTTCAATAATCCTTCTCCATAGGCTGTATCTCTCTTTACTGAATCTCCAACACCATTTACCCAGAAGATCTTTTTTAACAAATTTAATATTTCTGATGCCAAGGCCTCCAAATTTTCTAGGCTGGCACACAAATTTCCAGCTCACCAGATTGAATTTAAAACTGTTCCTCCATCCTGCCACAAAAATGCCCTCATTTTCTTCTCTAAAATCCTTGCAACACTTGTAGGTATTTGGAAAAAAAACAAAGTGGTGGGATCAGAATAATTGTGGTGGGAAATATTACTGAAATGAACCGTTGCTGCCATCCAAGAGTGAATGGTACCCATAACCTTCTTAATTAGCTCCTCAAGTTAACAGATCAGATTCTGAAATATCCACTGATTTCTCTCCTTCCATATGCACCAAGTAGATGCTGCAGGGACAGTATTCGATAACTTTCTTCATTTCACATTCAGACCCCTTAACTTTGAAGAGTTTAAGTACTTTTCAAAGTTTCCAGGAAAGCACCAAGACAGATTTAACAACTGACAAAAATGAGAGTAGATCTGTCTCACAAATTTATATTCAGAAACAGGTGATTAGAGGATTCTCTTTGTAACCCAAGGGTTTAGTTAACCTCATCCCTTGTAAATGGGAGAATAGATATGCACTTATGAAGTTTCCAGTTCCAGTGGGGCCAATATATTATGACCAAAATCCCTCTATTGTGGTTCCAAAAAACCCCTGCAGTACCTGATCTTAGTGGTTTTCAAGGCTATTGTTGTCAAAATTAAACTTTATGCTATTCCATTTAGGAGGTACCAAAGAGGTAAGAGATGCAACTCTGCTTGGTTGACTTGCATTATATTCCAGTGGCTTTTGGGGTTAGGTAACAAGTTGCGTTGTTTAGTCAAACCGAAGAAATTAGAATTTAGAAGTGATTACAGGGTACAGGAGGATCTAATGTGCCCTTGACTGCCAAGAAAGTGGATACAACTTGTCTACAAGATATCAAGTGATTGAGCTGCTTCTGTATGCTGTATTGATATATCATTAGTAATTTTTGTTTTTTTAGGTAATTTTTCTTCTCTTCATATCTCTATTTGTTATTTATTTCTTAAACCCCTTCCATCCCTCTCCAGTTATCATGTCTGATTTTTTGTATGTCGTTCATGATAAGTTTCATCAATTAACCACATGGATTTGCTTTCTTATGTCACTACTCTCACAATGGTTAGCTAATTTTTTGCAGGTGCATTTATTTATATGATACACTTCGCCCAAAACTTATTCATGAAGCAAATCTTGATTTTCTTTGTGAACTTGTTGATATTCTTAAAGTTGAAGTCCTGGGAGAACAACTGAGTAGAAGGAGTGAGTCTTTAGCGGGGTTGCGTCCAACATTATATAGAATTCTAGCAGATGTTCACGAGAGATTGACTTTTCGTGCACGAACACATATTCGTGATGAGGTATTCCACTTAAGTTTTTTTTTTAATATTTTGTTCATCCCTTATTTTGTTTATTTGATCATCTACATCTGTGTCCATGCATGTGAGCATGTGTATGTACCTTCAGTCTGGCTTGGGGATGCAATAGATGTGCCCCATCAGATGCCACATGTCTCACATTCCGAGGATTGTGTCAGCTATTGATAATCTGTACATAAGTAATTTTTTTGGTAATAAATAAAAAGAAAAAATATTAATAAAAGAAGGAAGTAAATCAGATCGGCTGATGAGAATGAGATATCACCACAATTTTCTCCAGCAATACAATTTCAACAAAAAACATCCAGAAAAAAACACAAAAACAACACTTTTATCTATTTCAAAAAGAGACCAAAAACCATCTCCAAGATCTTCTGACACTCCTTCAAATTCTGGTAGTATGAGAATCCAATCCATAATTCTTCTTTCACAAAACATTGCATTTGATCTCTTCCTGGAGCTGTCTTAAAAAATCCTTCTATTTGCCTCTTTCTAAATTTCCTAGAAAATGGCAAAGGGGACACAGCTCCAAGCTATCTTTGCTTTAGTGTTTCCATGTGATGCAGGCTAATGGAAAAAGATCTCTCCCTGAGATCTAGGATCAAAGAAATCCATTTTGAACTGACCATAAAAGAAGTTCATTCGCCTCAGCAGCTTTGCATAAGTTGCACCTACCAGCCAACTGTGTGCCCCTATGTTGAATATGATCCAAGGTAAGGGTACTGTCCAAAGCCAGCCAAGCAAATTCTTCAACCCTTGGTGGAATAGGATTTCCCTAAACCCATTTTACTTCTGATCTCTCCACTTGATTCCATATTAGAGCCTTGTAAAATTATTTAATAGAGAAGACACCATTTTTAGATTGAGCTGCAAAACTTCTATTGAGATGGACCTTTCTCCTTCTCAGCACAATCATCACCAGCAAATTCCTTGGAAGATGGATGCTGAGAGGAACTTTGTTCGTGCAAATGTCTGGAGAAAGAAAATCAGAATTGAGGCCAAAACCTTTGTCTTGGAAGAGGTAAAAACTAGATGAGGGACTGTTCTGAAATTCATTGAACACTTGAAGGTGACTGTACTGCTAAAAGGGAAAGCCATGTTGTGGTTCAAAGGTTTCATTGAAGGAGCCATACATTCACAACGGAAGGTAAACTGGAGAGGTTCTTATAGGGAAGGTGATACCACTTGCTGGGCAGAAATTCTGGAGAATACATGTGGAATGTATGTGCAACTGGCTGAGTTCTTCAACCCTGGGAAGAAAAGGTTGGTCTGTATCCCAGAAGGTAAAGAGAGTCTAAGCTGGAAACAGATAGAGTAAGCTTTTCAATATTTCTTGGTCTTGACAGATAATCTGAGTAAATCAATCAACAGACCTGTAGGGGACACTAAAGATCAAATGAAGGATTTGGTAGATGTTAACAGATGCTATTTTATATATGTATGGTACCGCAGGGGTTCTTTTGTAATTTCTTTCTTATTTTTAAGTTGTACGGTCGCCCTAGTATAAATAATAACATACTGCACGCCTGCAGGATTCTCTTTGGGCTCTCAGTCCTCTCGTCTCTCCCTTTCTCTTGTACAACATGGTATCAGAGCAGGTCGTCCAGGCTTGAAAGGTGAAGTCGAGCAGTCTGTCTGTTCATCTTCCAGTTGTGTCCATCTGCTGTTCGGCTTCCAGCATGTAGAAGGTTTTGTTTCGAGGGTGACAGGTTCTCAGAAATTATCATCTGCTGTCCATCTGCTGTTCGGCTCCCCTGATGTTCGACTGAAACTTTCAGAAGTTATCATCTGATGTTCACCTGCTGTTCGGCTGCCCTGGTGTTCGACTGAAGTAACCTCCTTTTTTTTACTTTGTTCTCATTGTTAGAATGCTCGAGTCAGGGGTATTTTGGTCATTCTGGTGTATCTTCTTGAATGTGAAAGGTCTATTGTATCTGAGTTTAAGTTATGTGTCCCATCTTCTATGAGGGACAAAATTGTCTTTCTTGTAACTCTAAGTTTTATGAATAAAATTCAAGTGGGTCGGCTAGGAGAGTGATTTTTCACATTCTCTCTAGTCTGGCCGAACACTCTTCTTCTCTCCTTCTTCTTCTTCTTTCTCTTTTCTTTCTTCTTTCTTCTTCTCTACTTTGACCTAGAATCAACTAGGGTTTATTCACACTCATTAACTGTTCGGCTGCCCTGATGTTGGACCAGTTCCAGGTCTACCGATTAGATGTGTGGTGAACTTCACCTCTTTCTTTCCTTTCTGTTGTGGGGTTGTTTGATCCCTGTGCAACCGTAGGTCATAATGGCCTGTTTATGTGCTGCAAGAGCAGTCTTGTTTTTGGGAACCCTGTGAAACCGTAGGTCATAAGGACCTTGTTTGTGTGCTGCAACAGCAGTTTTTTGGTGGACTAAAGGTCTGGAAGTGGCTGGTACCTTTTGTAATAACTCTTTGAGGCTGTGTTCCTTTTTTTGGGGGTGTTGTTTTTAAATCTGAAATCATGAGTGGTGAAGATTCTGCTACATCTGGAGTTTCCTCAATGCTGAATGGAATGAGTGGGTAGACCTATCCTTTCCCATGGCTGTTGTCCCTCTTGATGGTTTAAATTACYTAGAGTGGTCAAGAGGGATCAAGCTGTACATCACTGCAAGGGGGAAGATAGGTTATATTAATGGGAGAATTAAAGAACACTCTGGGAGTGCTGAATATGATAGATGGAATCAGGAAAACAACATGTTTATGTCTTGGCTCTTAGTATCTATGCAACCTCAAATAAGGAAGAATTTCATGTGGGCTGAAATGGCAAATGAGATCTGGGAACAAGCCAAATCTACATACTCAGAACTGCAACACTATGCAAAGATCTATCAACTACAGGCAGAGTCGTCTACTTGTAAACAGGGGGAGAGGTGTCTATCGGTATATTACTCTGACTTGACTTCTGTCTGGAAGGAGTTGGACCATTATCAAAGTGTGGATTGGAAATGTGACGAGGATGCAAAACTGTACAAGAAACTTCTCCCAATAGAGAGTGTTTGCCTTCTTACATGGTTTGAACCCTATGTATGAATCTATCAGAGTCCAGATTCTCAGTTTTAAGGATCTTCCATCAGTTCAAGAAGTTTATGCTCTTGTACAATCTGAAGAGAGCAGAAGGAATTTGATGAACAGCCCTGGTGGAGATGCAGTTGTGTTGGCAACAAAAGGGGGTGTCTCTGCCAGTGTGCGAAATTCTTCTAGGAATGGAGATCTCCAGAAAAAAACGAAAGATAAAGAAAAATTGTGGTGTACTCATTGCCAGAAACCCCGACTCACCAGAGATACATGTTGGGATCTTCATGGGAAACCGAAATGGGCTCAAGATCTGAATAAGAAGCAAAGTTCAGATGTGCATAAAAGGTCAGGACAGCAAGGTACAAAGAAACACACTGTGGCCAACATGGCTAATCGAGAGAATCAGCCCCCCATCCATACTGTGACTCAGACACATTCCTCTGGATCTGACCCAAGGGAGGATATTATGAATTCCTTCCGTGACAATTTAGAGCTCTATGGTAGAGCAATTCGTCAGATGGATGCTCCTCCCTCAACCTCATTCGCATCTACATCAGGTAACTCTGCCACAACTTTCCATGTTGCTTCTCATACCCTTGACTCTCCCTGGATCATTGATTCTGGAGCGTCAAAACACATGACTGGTATGTCCTCTTACTTTCAAACCTATCACCTTCTTTCTAGAAGAGACAAGGTGAGACTAGCTGATGGATCATACGCTTCCATAGCTGGTCAAGGAACCATCTCTCTTCCCCTTAGGCTTACCCTCTCTAATGTTCTACATGTTCCGAAATTTCCCATTAATTTGTTCTCTGTTAGTAGTGTTACTAATTCCTTAAACTGCTCAGTGACCTTTTTCCCTTCTTACTGTGTGATCCAGGATCTGGCCTCGGGGAGGACGATTGGTAGAGGACGTATGGTTGATGGACTTTACATGCTGGAGAATAAGGCTGGTCTTCATGTTACAGAGCCTATGAGTCAGTCTTGTAAGAGTCAAGTTTATTTATGGCATTGTTGCCTTGGTCATTTGTCTTTTGAGTCTTTAAAAGTTGTGTTTCCAGAACTGTTTAAGTCGGTGTCCGTTTCAGATTTCTCTTGTCAAACGTGTCAATTGAGTAAACATTGTAGAACTCATTTTCTTCCAAAAAATAGTAAATCTGAATTTCCATTT